AGTGATTGCGAAGACCATAGCCTGTATCAGACGCACCTTAGTCTCCAGAGAGACACCATTGCTCTTCAGTACTTTGGAGAGGTCCCTAACAGCTTTAGTTTGCTTGGCTCCATAGTCAACAGGCTTGGCACCAGCAGCCAGGAAATTAAAAGGCGCATTGCCATGGGAAATCTTTTCATAGGCACAGTAAAAATTACTATAAAAATAAATGCGAAAAAGATCAATAGGCTCATTTTTTTAGAGTCAACAGATTAAAACATTACTCTGAATTAAGAATACTTTTAAAAAGAAATGCTCTGATATATTCCTTTTAAAGTCTTAAAAATCTTCACTTTTTCTTTCATTTTGTGTACTTCTTGGAAGTTCCATGTAAGATTCTGATATATGTCTTCTAGTTGAAAAGCTGTGCTGTGGGGAATGTTGGCATTTTGTTTTCCACTTACTTCACTGTAGACAGGAAAAGGAGCTGTGGTGGTGGTTGTTGGACCCCACTCCTTGCTGAGCCTCCAGTGAGTTTTCAGAGCCTGTAAGTTGGAGGAGAGGAGATTACCCATCTTTCTCCCTTGGAGCAGCTGTGGATCTGAGCCGAATGCCTGTGGACACACAACTCCTTACCCCTAGGCCGTCAGAGCACTTTGGTGCGCTCTCTGCTGCTTTAGTGCATTACTTTGTGGTGCTGCTTACCACAGGTTGATGGTTCATGTCCAACGCTCCACTGAAGAAAGAGAAATCTTCCAGTCGTATTTACAGCTCCTTTGTTGTTAGAAATTGCATCTTACACTGCCAGCCCCAAAGCAGGGGGCTGGTATCCACTGGCTGCTCTGCAGGAGAAGTCTCCTTCTGTGTGATTTACAGCTTCTGAAAATCTGCTAGAGGCTCAGCTCTGAGTCTCTTCTGACTTGATGGCACCTATAATTTAATATAAAATATTTATTAAAAAAACCTTTCTTTGTATTTTTACATTTCCCATGGGTTTTTAATAAAGTACTTTTGAAATGGCATGTATATGAACTTGGACTGTAGGGAGGAAAATACACAAGAAAAAAATGAATGGAAATCCCAAGTTTTCTTTAAACTTAAAGGATTAAAAAATATAAAAAAGAAATGGCATGTATATAACTGTTACTAACATGTTTTACTTTGTAGTCTTTTGTTGAAATTATTTTTTCTTCACTTCGTAGAATGAGAGACTTAAAAAACTTTGTGCTGACCTGGAAGAGAAGCATGAAGCTTCAGAGCTTCAAATAAAGCAGCAGTCTACCAGTTACCGAAATGAACTGCAACAGAAGGAGGTAAAGACTGTTACAGCCACTTCATATTTATTTCATTGCAGTATAGATCGAGTTAGGTTTAGCCATGTAAAAGTACTGAAAAAGTGCTAAATTTGGTAATTAAAAGGAAAAAAGTCTGTGTATTAAATACCTTTGAATACCTGATGCTTATATGTATTGATTTTATGGTAGCTGATTTCGTGTGTGTTGTTTCAAATCTGTATGATCTCATGGTGATGCTGTGAACAGCACATCTAATCCTTTGGCTGTTTTGTGTCATCCTCATGGTCTCTGGCATGTTCAACCCTATTGTTAATGTACCATCAAGTTGGGACTGACTCATAGCTGACCCTCCAGCCAGTTTTCAGAGACGGTTAATTGAATTGCATGGATATTGTCCATCCTTCTCCCACAAAGTAGCTGGTGGGTTTGAACTGCATGCTTTTGGGGTTGTAGTATAGTTCCTTACCCTCCAGATCACCAGAGGTCTCTCATATGATGATTACTAACGACAGTTTCTCTTTAAGAAAAGGATTTGTCTACAAGTCTTTTTGTGTTGATTATCTACTTAATCTACTTCAAAACAGAATATTGAATGCATTACTTAGCCTTCAGTTATTTACTCTTGTAATTTGATTCCATCAAGTCGACAACTCATAGTGACTCTGTGAGCAACAGATCTCAGCCCTGCCCTATTCTGCGCCATCTTTGTGGTCTCTGGTATGTTCAAGCCCACTGTTACAGTCACTGTGTCTGTCTGTCTTGTTGAGAATCTTGGAGGAAGTACACCCAGGCTGCTCCTTAGAGGCAAGCATGGTGAAACTTCATCTCACATACTTTGGCATGTTGTCAGGGAAGGGGCCATTACTTGGAGAAAGACATCATTGGTTGACCTTTTTGTTCTTCTAATGTTTTGTTTTAGTTTCTTGCCTTTATTCTGGTAAAAATGGTTGTTTCGGACTTGGCTTCTCTCTGCACTGCAGGTACAGTAACCATTGATAATGCATAGACTATGTCAACATGTTGTTGACAAATCCCTTTAGTCTGTGAGTGAAGGTCAGTAAATACATTGAGCTGTTCCATGTTGCATTATCTGCATTATTTGGGTGTTCTTCTGTTTAATTTTTACCATAACTTTGTATTTGGGGACTTTAAATTTGGACGCATAATTTCTGGTACTTTAACTGACACACTGTCAGTTTGTTGTACTGTAGTTGCTTGAAGCTCTGTTGCTGCTGTTTACCATTATGAGCAGTTCACCCATGGTGGACAGGTTTCAGCAGAGCTCCCAGACT